ACTTTATTTTTTTGGCATTATATTGTAATGGATTTGGGCATGATGATAATGGAATGAATTTGGTATTGTCTATTTAATAAATGACAATTACTAGTTAGAAATGGTATTCTTTTGATATTACTAATACATTTTATTTGTGTATAAAAAAATGGTTCATAGTATGATCTTGTATATGATAATCTTTGTATGAACCATGGTTGCAAAAGAATGACTATATATTGTTTTGTTATATTTGGTATGAATTGTGGATTCAAATGGATCTATATAATTGACATAATCGGTATAAAATCGATATATAATTGATATAAAATTGGTATGAACCATTTTTTACAATGATTAATTCAAAACAAAATTAATACCAAAACAATCAATATATAAATGATATAAAATCGGTATGAACCATTTTTTACAGTGATTAATACAAAATCAAAATTCATAGTAAAATCATACGATAGGTTCATTTATTTTTGAAATCAAAATTCATACCAAAATCATAGAGTTGGTCCATTTATTTTTAAAATCATTATTCATATCAAATTCATACAATTTAGCAGATATATAATTTTGGAAAATAGAAAACATATAATTTAAATCATTATTCATACAAGAATTCATACAATTCAAATTATTTATTAATGGTATGAAATAAAAAATAGCAATCTAAAGAAAGAAAAAAATGAAGATAAAGGAGGAAGAGAAGGAAAAATGTAGGAAATAAATAAATGTAAATAAAGATATATATATATATATATATATATATATATATAGAAAATAGTGAACAACATATTTAAATTTAAAATTAGAAAAAAATAGTATTCATCAAGAGTAATTAAGTAATAATAGTAGTACTAAAAATAATAGTAAAATAAGAAAAACGAGGATTAAGAGATAACGTTATTGGGGGGTTGGATATCTTTTAAATATTTCTATCAATTTAAATATATAGCTTATAAAACGATATTATTGTATTTAATATCAAGAATAAGGAAGAATAATAAAAATATCCACATTTAAAAAATTAATATGATATTTGAATTCAAATTTAAATAAAAGAAGTATTTTTTATCAGCTTAAAAATAGAAACTCATAAGTAAAAGAATTCTTAATAAACTCTTACTGTTTATAAATTTATCATTTTTGAATATTATAAAATAAAATAAGATACATTTAATTTAAATATTAAATAAAAATAAATAAATAATAATAATAATAATAATAATAATAATAATAATAATAATAATAATAATAATAGTAATAGTAATAGTAATAGTAATAGTAATAGTAATAGCAATATACGTGAGGAAGAAAATCAGAAGTATATAAATTTGAAAATACATTAGACTTTTAATTCTAAATAGACTCTTACTATTCAGAGAGTTTGGTATTTAATTTAAGAAAAATATAAGTAGTCCCAATTCCCAAACCCTACAACATTACCTCGTTTTTTTTTCCAGTTTAAACCACTGCACTCCACTGCCGGCTGCCGCTCCTCGCCGTCAGTTGTCAGCGATCAGGTTTCTTCTTGCCTTGTATTCTTTGTATTATACTATTTAACAATTTTAAATTAAAACATGTTATCTCGATCTACCCAAATTTCTAAGTATATTTTATGGCCCAATTTTGTAAGCCAAACTTTAGGTCATTGTTGATATTTTCTCGTTACCTTGTAGGAATGGAAACTCACATGCACATCCAAGAAGAAATAATTATGGATATTTTAAGTAGATTGCCTGTGAAATCTCTTTTCCTATTCAAGTGCGTTTCAAAGTCTTGGAAGGCTTTAATCTGCGAACCTAGCTTTAAGAAAATGCATCTCAATCATGCCAAAAATGACAAATTGCTCATAGAACGGACAGCCAGGGATCGTAATATTTTTTTCTATTGTTCATCTTTGTCATCAATGTCACATCTAATTGTTAGGGATGTACAAGAATCAGTGTTTGTCCCGCAATGTGTGGAAGGGCCTTACAATTACAAGATCTATGGTAGCTGCAATGGCTTGTTTTTAATTGGGATTAAGCAGAAATATATTTTGTGGAATCCTTCTACAAGAGAATCAGCATTACTACCATCACATTGGGATAAGTTCTTTTGTGATTATAATTTTGGATTGGGATATGACCCAACTAGTGATGACTATAAGGTCGTTAAGATTCCTGAAATTAATTCAGAGGCACCCACTGAAATTCTTTCACTAAAAACTGGTTCGTGTAGAAAAATTTATGAAGGTTACTTTACCATCGAATGCCATAATATGGATTATTTGACATTAGTACGAGGAACATTTCATTGGCTAGTTTATTCCGAAGGAGGTAGGTTTTCTCTGTTTTCATTTAATATTTCAAAAGAGGCGTTTGGAGAATTACCATTGTCGAAGGAGATGCCCTTGTTCTGTGACACGATCGAGCAAGGCGTAACAGTGTTAGGTGGAATGCTTAGTGTAAATTTTGTTTGTGTCAAGGAGGATACTATTGTTTTTGATTTGTGGGTAATGAAAGAGTATGGTAAAAGAGAATCTTGGACTAAATTATTTACAATGAGAGATAGAAGGGATCGTTTTCAAGTGTTACCAATCGTTCCGAAATATATATTTGGAGATGGGCGAGTGTTGCTGAATTCAGATAGAAGAGATGTGCTTAGAACATTCAAAGAATCAGACAGAAGAAGCAATCTCATAGGGCCTCTAACTAGTGATGAAGATACCATGAGGTGGGATGGATATACTTACACAGAGACTCTCATCTCTCCAAAAGATTGTGTTCTTGCTTGCTACTAGTATTGGTTGGTACTTGAGATTGTGTTCTTTTTTTAAAAAAATAAATAAAAAATATCATAATTTCGTTAATCAAAATTCTAATCTAATAAGTATATACAAGATAAATATATGTAGTATTGCTAAAAATGATTCAAATCACAACTAATTGGCTTGTTGATTTCAGTATAAGTTTGATTATATATGACCTTTTTATTTTGGTCTTGATACAAGTTTGGTATTTAAAAGAGAGCTTCTTTTACAATTAGGACTAAGAATGGTTATTTACACATTTCATAAATATAATTTTATTTAATTTTTAAAGCTTTTGTCTTTAGACTTTGCAATGTAGCTATACATGATGGATTACGTATATTTGAATTTGACTCCTCTACTTGTTATTTTTAGTGTTCTGTTTTTTTTTCTTTTTGTATAATTTTGAAATAAATATTTTTATTTGGCTCATAGACTAGCCAAGTCCAGTTCATTCCCAATTTGTAAAAAATTATCATTTTGAATATTTATTCAGATTGAATATTACTTTAATGAAGTGATAAAGAAAGCCTATGTAAAATTTCGTAAGTTAATGAATTAAATTGGGGTTATGTTTATGTTTTAAAAAAATTGTTATTGAGGTGAATTATAGGTGTGTGAGATCCACATGAGAACGTAGAGATAACTGGAAGTAGGACGGCTTATCGGGCAGATTAGGTGGATAGTTATACTTAACAATTCGACTTATTAGATATCAATTTTTAAATATTTTAATCTACTAGCCAATCAATAAAATATCAATTGATTTAATATCGAATTAGCAATTATCGAACGGTTATCGGGTGATATATCACACTAAATATAGCACCAATTTACATCTTAAATACTACTATTGTATTATTATTTTTCTTAAATTAAAATCACAAAAATAAAATACACGTCATTGCTTAAATTGACTTGTCTCTTTTTTTCATCAAGTATATCATGAGATCTGTTCCCAACAAGAACAAACCAAATCTCAATGCTACATTAACAAGAAAATAAAATAAAAATAGAAGTAAGGCGGATATAAATATATGTTGAAAAAAATATAAATATGATCATTTTTAATGAATTGATGATTTATCCAATAAGAAAATTAAGTAGTTTGTTCATGCATTAATAAATCGTCTATTATAAAATTTTAATCCGTTTATTAATTGTTAATTTAATAATTCAATATCAATAAGTCAACACTCGGATTAAATTATCAGTTATACTTTTATTTTGATCAGCCCAAATTAAAACATAATAACATAAGTTTGGTGCAAGGTGGGAGTGGCTGGGAGGGGAAAAATATTCAATACTTAAATTTCAAAAGTGTAGGTTAAAATTGTAAAATAACGTGTTAATGCCCCCAATGCACGTCCTCGTGAGTTTTAAATTAATCATTGATGATAAATGCAACGCACTAGGACCCCCTAACACATGCCCAGCGTGAGGTCTTCTGACAACAAAAGTGTGTGTTGCGTGTTCAACATGAGGTCTGTTTCACTATAAATAGCTCCTAAGTGTAGAGAAAGGAAATAAAAGAAAGAGTACGAAACAAGAAGCTTTTGTAGTTAAACTTTCAATTCAATGTATGTTGATATTTTTCCATTTTTAAGGAAGAATGTGATGATTTGAGAGAGTTGGTGAAAGTCGGATGACTTGTGGACTTCTTGCAATTGATCAAAATGACAATTACAAGCGGTTTAAGCAGGTCAGTTTTCATTATCTCTCTCGGAACCTTGCATTCTTCTTTTAAAATAAATAAAATATCAAAATATATTAAATTAAGAATTAACGACAAACGATTCTTGATAAAACTTTTGACACAAATTAAAACTGCACTCTTTCAAACATAATTTTCTTAATATAATTTATAAGTCCTACTTTCTGGGTTGATTTATTTTCTTTTAAAAAATCACTACTTATACTTAATTTTTTCTTTCACAAGTCACATTATATCTTAAATTTTTTTAAATATTTAATAATTTTTATTTCAATTTCAAAAGTCTCACCCACTTCATAAAATTTCGTACTCAAGACACATAGGATAAAACGTAAAGCCTGTATTTATCCATGTTCATAGTTACTATTTCATTCGTTCTATATACTATATAAGAGACCGTTAGTACAGCACAAACAATACTATATAAATTTCCTCAGTACAAGCAACCATCTAAAATAAGCTGGTTGCAGCTCCAAACAAAGAACCTTGGCAGATTAGAATTTAGAGGGAGACTAGGCTGTTTACATATGGAAAGCATCGACGAATTCCAACTTCACTGCTCAGAAATTTTGTTGCACAGGACTTGAAATCGTATGAGTACGTTCTTCCTCCACAACGAGCCACCATTATATCACTGTCAACATGTAAAACTGAGTAGTTCCTTGCTACATCCCCAACAATTTCACTGTCAAGAACAACAGTCTGTTTCTCTGACCACATTTGGATTTGGCTTCCCATTTGCATTGTATTTGAGTGGGTATTAGCCAAAATGTTTAACAAGATTATATTACCAGTGACATCAACCTTACAGAGCTTTCCACTAAAAGTCCCCAAGAAGCCATGAGTGTCATAGCTTTGAAGGAGCTGGGACCTCTCCTTTGTTAGATCAAAAGCAAGAATATTATCAGTTGTCATCCAGTAAATAACGCCATTCACATGGACCCCTGATTTTGGCAATATTGTTCTATCTCCAAAGCATATCTCCCTAGCAATTTCCCAAGAACCCTCTCTGGAGGAATATATATCAAATTCAGTTGCCTTACCAAAATCTGTGGATGGAAAAGCACATATAATTTTGTACTCTGCTACAAAGTTGAGCAACGATGGTTCAAATAAGAGCACAATTGCTGGAACTGATCCATGATTAGCATTTGATTTTGGTAGTTCCTTCCACTGCTTAGTAAAGGGATTACATATGTAGTAGACCTTGTCCCCTTCATGACCTCGGCAACAAAGCAGTCCATTGGAGGAGGATTTAATGTCAACAGGCTCAGGCAAGAAGCTAAGAATTGGATCTGGCACCCCACAAGAGTTTGCGTCAATGGGTATGAGAGAAGGAGAACCCCTGTGAATCTGGATAAAGATGCCTGATGTACTGTGACAAGAAAGTGACTGATTGTGGGCAAAAAGTGGAGCGGAAATCTGGAATCTCCAGTCCCTGCAAACAGCTCTGAATTTGACAACTGATTTGGCAGGAAGGAAGGGAAGGACATTCTCCTTGATGATGTCCTTTAAATCCACATAAATCTTATTATCCCGTGCAGCAAGGTCTGCTATTTTTCCACGATCCATGATTGCAACTTAAATAAATTTACTCCATTGTCAAACAGCAACACTCATCTTAAATATAGAATTATTTATTTGAAATACTCAATTTAGGACAACTGGAATTAAAAGTTCCATTTTTCCATCAAACAAATGAAATTTCCCCACATACAACGACCACTTTACATGTTTTTTCTCCTATAGTTCTAACTGTAACAGACCCTATCCCAACATTATAATTGCTAAGTATGCAGATGCAGAAACTTCCAAAACAAGATTTCATACCAAGGAAGCAGAAATTTTCGGGTAGCAACAAATGCTAAGATTAGAACGATTGTAAATGGAGCTTGTTGATGACGAGGAGAATATTGCATTTTCAGGTAGGCCAGAAATATCTTTGAAACCATATTTTCCTAAGACACCACAATGAGGGTGAATATCCAGTAAAATATCATACAGAATTTAATGTATTCAATTGGACCACTAGTCGGTCATTAGATGAACATTAGTTATCAGTCACAACTTGGCATTTCCATATTTCATATTTCTTACTCAGCAATCACTAGACAGAGACAGCCACATCCTATATCACCAGCATCACTTTGATATATTTAAAGTAGCACCGACTCCAGCATCAGATTCCAGGTTCAAGGCTATCTAACGTAAAAACCAATAACGTAAAGTAGAAAGGAAAATCTAATTTCAGTAAGGAACCATCGTGTATTTGAAAAAATACATAAGATTTTGATTCTAACCCATAAGAAGATGGAAATATTTTGAATCATTAGCAGTAAAATCATTCTGCCACATATAAGCATGGCTTACATATCAAACTTTCAGGTTACTTACAAGACAACAACCTACTGAGTACTACAGGAGGAGCAGAACACTAAAGTCTAATCAGGATCAGATTTCACTGTATGTTCTAAAGAAAAAATATGGAATATGCACAAAAACCACAAAATCTTATGAAGAAGCCATAGAAGGAAGAATGGATTATAGTCACTGATGGTTAAGACAGTGCAACAAACAGTCTCTTTCTTGTTTTTTCAATCTTCTGTTACCAAAGATAATCACAATGCCTCTAACATCATGAGGGTTCAGTTTTGACTTGCTTTGACTTGACGCTTAACCAGTCCAAATTTGGCCAAACCCGCCCACCATTTTACACCCCTAAATTCAGTCAAGATTGTTGCTTTTCATTTTCTATACAACAACAACACACCCAATGTAATGGGATCAGGGGAGGGTAGGAATTAAGATGCACACGAAGGACTTACCCCCTACCTTTGTGGGGTAGGGAGAATATTTGCGATAGACAAGAAAAATATTTTTCTTGACATTCTTGAAGATCAAATGACGTTAGCTCTTACAGCAATACTGGAATGATGGTACTCTATATTAACATATATCTAAAAGTATACTTAATGAACAATAACATATCAACAAAACGATCTCTCAAGAAAAACATATCAACTAAATTGGCATAGAAATCTCAAAGAAAAGAAGAGAACAGATTGCGAAAACTAGAATATACAAAAAGCCTAATCTGAATATCGCATAATAAGATAAGAACAATCAATTATGTAGCTACAAGAACTCTCAAAACTATAGCGATCAAAGCGAAGAATCCCAAATTATTATGTATTGTAAGCACATACAAAACCCTAAATTCTTGAGCAAAAAATTGAACGATGAAGAAAATAAGAATCTATACCTTCCTGAATCTTCTATCACAGAGTGTAATTCAATTATTGTGGTTGAGCGAGAATGATGGATCCCTCATACTTAACGCTCGACTCTTTTATACGGGCATAATACATAAACATTATTTAACTACACTTTAACGGATAACTATGCCCTTTGAGTGTACACAAGCAAACATTTAAATTTGTATAAAATTGAACAAGTAGACACATGTGTTCTAGTGTAATACATGTAGGACGCCACATAAGACACAAAATTTTCATGTAAGGTGTCATGTAGGACGAATGCATCTATTTGTTCAATTTTATACAAGTTTAAATGTCTACTTGTGCATACCCTAAATTATACTAGGTCATAGTTATCAGCTAATGTTAAGTTAATGATCATGTTTATGTATTATGTCTTTATATTGCGAGACTCGAATTGACGACTCCAAAAAAAAAACTTTTCTTATTAAAATAAATAAAATATTAGAGTACAACTGCACACCCTGAAAAGTGATTAAATTATACATTGCATCCCTCAGTGTTTTAAAATCAAACACAAATAAGTACCATGATTTAATGATAAAGATACTCTCTATTTTAAAAATCAAATAGTTACACTTTTATGCTATAGAAATTATACAAAAATATAGTAATAATTTAAATACGCATGCATTCTCTATTTTAAAATCAAACACTTAATTAACATGTGGTTGACAGAGTGTTACTCCCGATTCATCTTTACTTGTTTGATATATTATTTTGAAATGTTCAATAATACCTCTGCTATTAAATACGGTTCATTTTTCAATATTTAGATAACTCATATTTAATAAGGATGATTTAGTAAAATTACATTTATCATTTACGACTTCTTAATTCCTGTATCAAGTCAATAATGAACAACTATTGTTGGACAGATAAAATATTTATTGATATTTAATAATTAAAGTCGAATGACTTTTGAGTTATAAAACACAAATACAATCCTATAGTCAGATTATTTCTTAGAAAAATGTACAGTGGAAAATGATGCCAGTGGTGAGGTTGTAGACAAAAACTAAAAATTATGTAATGACAATATCTTAAGTGAAGTTGCGTAATTTTTCCGTAAAAAGAAAAAAATTCAGTCACTTTGGTAAATTGACGACTACTGAAATTACTCCTGCTCTAGCACCTCCATTTGGCATATAGTATTTTTTTGGAGCTTTCAAAGCAAAAGAACTAAGTTTCTTACCTGCGATTCACTGTGGCAAATAAAATTAGAAAAGGACTAAACCATGTAAATGGAGTACCTAAGATCTTTTCTCCATTTTTATATCAATAAGGCATGAATAAAGCATATATATAAAGGCGAAGAGTTATCACCAGCGGCGTTCAGAATTCCATACCAGAGTGTTCCAAGCAAAATGTGTTGGGAGAAGAAATAGGATATTAGTATATCATTACCATTCTAACTGATGCTAATTAAGAAAAACTATTATGAGAAGTAGAAGGAGAATAGGACTTTTAGATGATTGCGGAAATGTCCATTTAAGCACCTGGTTGCTCAAAGCTCCACGAGAGTACCAAATGAAATTTACACGAGGCGTTTTTGTAAGAACTATTTCTCCCTCTCATAGTCCACTTATCCGTTTATCCAGCTACATATGGCTCCTCATCCTGACTTTACTAAATGAATCCTCTATCTACAGGGTTAGATGCAACCTTTGGTGGTAGTACAGCTTGAACATTCCAAAAGAGACAGGTGATACCGCAGGCTGGAGATTCAGAACACTGAAGCCGAAGTTGCAGTTGACACAGGTGATAAGAGAACTGGCTGACATCAAAGAACTAGAAGCAGTTTTTGCTATTTGTGAAAAGGTGCATCTTACTGAGATTTATATTATAAATCAATCTCCATTTCTTGAGTAGCATTCTGACTCTTCTCTGTAGCTGTTTTAACACCACCTTCAGTAGGAGCTTCAGGCTTCCAAAATGGTGGTGGCCAAGATAATTGAGTTGTATTAATATTATCTTTGCTATGAGAGTCCTCCTTGCCTCTGATCTGAGGAGATACATCTAATGAGTTGACTGGTTTAACAGGCTTGTCCCTCTCAGATGAAGTTCCCTCAACTAAATCAACTCTAGGTGTTAATGAACGGCCTGTAGCAATGGTAGCTGAAGGAAAAGCCTTCTCTGGTGGAACAACTGGTTTATAACTTGAGGGTAGGAGATCATCCCAGTTCTCCAAAAGCTCCTTGTACACCTTACGAAGAGTAACCTCAGTTAGTCCAGTCACCTTACATATTTCAGCCTGGGTCTTCCGCTTGTCCTCTAGTTGACATGCCAAATATATAGCAGCAGCAGAGATGCTAATTGGATTCCTTCTAGTGCAAAAGCATTTATTGATGATTACTTCACCAATGTGAGTCGCCAGCTCCTGATGCAATTGTTGTGCAAGATACAGTCAAAAGATTTAGTAAATACAGAGGAACCTATAAGTAAACTAAACAATAACTTGATGAAATTGAGTAAACACATAGGACCAACATGACATGACTTATTCGCAGTCTCAAACAAATTGATTGGGAAAGAGAGCTTTTTTCGGCTATTGAATTTTTGTTAATGACAATAGCATATACAATTAACCAAGGCAACTGATTACTAACTTTTGAATGAACCGTTAGGTACCTGAGCAGATTTATTCAGCTGAAGGAGTGTACAAAACCTTGGCATATGGACTGATATAGAATTACTATTGATAGGTTGACTGAGTTGTAACGCTTCTCCAAGAATCTTTATATACTTCCCGATTTCCTTCTGAGGTAAATTGGCTGCAACTGATATTTCCTAGTTATCAATTAATTCAAATTAGAGAAGCACAGAAAAATCAGAAAGTTCATGGAAGTTTTTTTATGAAATGCATCTCAGACTACCACTCAGTTACAAAAAATTAAGCATCCAATGGAAGAGGGGGGAAAAAGCCAAATGTTCAGTTTGACCTACAATTGGAAGAATGTCTGATTATTTCAAATTAAACATGGTATACAAATTACAATCAACAACCATTGACAAAGAGACACTAGCATAATATCAAAAATGACATGTTAGCAATCTTGAGACCCCTCTCTCTCTCTCTAGCTCTCTTACTGCAAGAATGACAACTGACAATAGTAACACAATGGCAGTACTTCACATTCAATACATCTTAAAGGCCCTTACTCATGATGATGCTTTCTACATTGTTGTTGCTATTTTGAAGCACTGTTCTATTTCATGGAGTATATGTTTAACAAAGACCAAGAAACAAAATTCAAATTGTGAGCTTAAGGTTATTGACCATTTGCTTGGCTTTAAGTGCAATCAAATGGGTAGTATCTATTAACCACTTTAAAGTTAGCAGCAGATTTGTTGTCGATGGTCAATCACAGGGTATTTTTGATGCAACTATACTGCAACTCCAGGTTAGGCACACTACTAAAGGAAACTAGGGAAGGGAAGAGGAAAGAAGTACAAGAGCTTCCCATCTCTTGTTTGTTCCTAGAAAAACACGTGAAAAGAACATTGGGTGGGGGACTGGGGGTAGGGGGAGGGAGAGAAAGGGCGAGGAGAAAGAAGTTCCCTTACAGCCCACCAAAAGTTTCCTGTCTTTTCTCTTGTATTTCCCTCTTTGTACTTTGTTTTTTTCCTTCTCTTCCATGATTTTCCTACATATAGGGTATCTTCCACTTAAGATAAGAAAGAGGAAAAGTAGTAAGTGAGAAAGAGAGGTTTGGAGAAGGCAAAAGTTTATCAACATCAGAATAAACCCTAGGATGGAAATAAGCTTGAACAAGAGAACAAGAAAGGAAATAGCGAGACGAAATGAGCTAACAATGACAAAGGTTCAGCTGAATCAGTATGTTACATAGCTGTAATTACCAGCATTCTCTTGGCGCTGTTCTACTCAATTAAATGACCTTATTTGTTTTAAAAAAAAGATTGTAACACCAACGTTCCATACCTATTGATTGAAATGTTAACAATACTGTCTTGGTGATTTTGTAGTAGTATTGAAGATTGGAAACATTAACATTGTGTTGATTGAAGCAAGTGATACACAGTAACAGCTGTGGTATTTGGAAAGAAAAATGAGTTCCGCTGACAATGGACGGTAGTACCACTTCTTTGAAAGATATTTTCTGCCATACCAAATACATCTATTGTAGCTATTTTCCCAATATATGAAGTCCTATTGTTTTTGGACCCCCGATTCCTTTACAAAGATGTTCCTACTTAAAAAGATTTGGCAAGAGTTCAACTAGATGCCAATTAGCTGGATTAGTATAGACAGAGCAAAGCTTAGAGCTTGATTAGTTTTGTCCCTTTCAAATTCAGCAATTGTATATATTTATGGCATCCATTTACCAATTTAACATACCTGGAGAGTTCTCGGCTCTTGGGCTTCCCTGATAGCGTGCACAAGAGCAGCAGTAGCAAGCGCTTCAACACTCCGATTCCTTAAGCAAGTCGCCGAAGAACAATCCCTGAAGAGCTGAAACGCGTGGTCCGAAATATCATAATCCAGTCGCAGAATAGAAGCCACATCAATAATCTGCAAATAAGCCCGGAGATTTTCCACCACGACAGAGGAAGAAGACGAACTGGAGGAAGTTGACGTCGTTTCGAGGACCCGCTCGAGCTCTGCAAGGTGGCCGGCGAATGAAATGGAGGATTGGGCAAATACTGGGTAGGGTTCGAGAGACCAAGTAGAGAAAGCGGTGATGAAACCCGTGGGTTCAAATGGGTCTTCATCGTCGTTAGTGGCGGAGATGGGAAGAGTGGGGAGATCGGAAGTAGCCAGGCACAGAGGAGAATCTTGGGCACGGGTATGAAAAAGATGGTGGGATTGGGTTAATCGCTCCTCCACTACCCGGCCGCAGGATGTGCACTCTGTTATCGGTCTGCCACTAGTGCTGCTGGTACACCGCCCTTGCTCCGCCGAGCAGTACGGACATCGCATTTTTTCTGATTTCAACTAGCTAGGCGTGGGGGCTTGGAGTACTGGTCCTGCTGGACCCAATTATTTGTAAAAGAGTTTTGGTCACCGGTGCAGTAATATTTAAAGTTTTGTAATAAAAAATGTGACTTGTCATTATCATTAAATATGACTTATAAATTGTTATTATCAACGCAATTATAAATCACAACTGTAAGCATAAGTTAAAAAAATCACAACTAAACACAATATATAAATAATACTTAAAATTTGACTTGTAAATAATTTTTACTCCAATAGCATAAAGAAATGTATACATTCTCATCATAAATTTAAGACCAAAGTTCCAAAAATGTAGGTTCACACTCTTTATTCCGTGTTTTTTATGTGAGCGGATACATAGCTTTTTTCATTTATTAAATAGTAAAAATATTTATATTTTTTATCTATTTAAATAACTACATATCATTAATCTATGATTCGACCTTAAAAATATTTATCAAAATAAGTTAATTTTGAAATAACAACCCAGTTTCAAATAAAAATAGGAAGATCATTAAATAGATAATCCTGCGCCATAACGATAGCAGAGAATTCCATAATAAAAATACAAATCAAATTCAAATTAAGCAAAGGTATAAATAAATACATATAAAAAGGGAAAGGCAAAAGGAATTGCAAAATTGATTCCAAACAAAATGTGAAAAACACAAAAAAGAAACATTATAAAATCATATTATTATAATTTATAAACCAACAATAATAATAAATGTAATTCTTAATTTGAACTCGTAAATATAACTTATCGTTGCCATTATATATGACTTATAAATCATTATTATCATAAGCATAAATCACAACTAGTAAACATGACTTTAAAATCACAACTAAACACAACATAAAAGAATACTTGAAACTCAATTTATAAATAAATTTTAAACCAATAACACAGACAAATCTATATATTCTCATCGTAAAATTAAGACCAAACCCCAAAAAATGCATGTCATACTCTCTATTTTGTGAATTTTTTTTAAAGCACACATGTTAACCGATATTTTGCTGTTTTCACTTTTTAAATAGTCAAAAATATGTTTATTTATTTATCTGTTTGAATAATTGCATCTCATTATTCATGATTAGACCTTAAAAATACTTTTGAATTTAAAGAGTCCGGAAACAATCCACTACTTCTATAACCTTCTAATAATTGGCTATATATAAATTACTATTGTACTAATATATAAATATAAATAGTTGCTATATCGGTCCATTTTTGTTTTAATCAAAATAAGTAAATTTTGAAATATTAACCCAATTACAAGTAAAAATAGTGTGGCCATTAAAATATATTATCCTGCAGAATCCCAGAATAGAGATGCAATCAAATTCAAATAAACCAAACGTATAAATAAATACATATAAAAAGAAAAAGGGCAGAGGAATTTTATTTGTACACAAAAAAAGAGAGAGAAGGGAAAATTGAGATGAAGGATGATGATCTTCCCATATCAACGCCGACGGCACCTTCATCGTCGTTCACGACTTCCAAAAAGGAAACTTCATACTCCGCCATTTTCGGTAGAGGCCGTTACAAATTTTGGGCTTTTACCGCTATCTTATTGTTAGCTTTCTGGTCTATGCTCACCGGAACTGTTACTCTCCGTTGGTCCGCCGGTAACCTCAACGCCATATCCGATGACATCGACATTCCCCTCCCCGAAGATCTCGACGTTCTGGTCCGTACATTTCCCTTTTTCAACCTCATTGTTTGGGATTGACACAGAGCTGATTGATTGATTGGATTACCTAATTATTAGTAACTTGATATTTCGTTGATTGGTTTTCGGAAATTGTATCTATTTTTGGCAGGAAATGGAAGAAAGGGAGAAGTTAGTGAAGCATATGTGGGATGTATACACAAACAGCCGTGGGATCAAATTGCTAAAGTTTTGGCAGGAAGCATTTGAGGCTGCCTACGAGGAGTTAACCAGTGACGTTCCTGGAGTCCCCGAGGATGCCCTTTCTGAGATCGCTAAGATGTCTGTACGCTACATTCCTATTGAATCACCACCTCTTCATTCATCGGTTAGCTCTCTCTCTTTCCCTTTGAATCCAATTCTCATGGTGATTTGGGTGTGGGTGTGGGTGTGTGATATTAGACAAACATTAAGCCTTGTAGCACTCTTGTGATCTTTACTGCTGTTAATTCATTGTTACAATAATTGTCATTTTAACCGTGTGTTGATGAAGCTTTAACAACAATAGCAACCATACTTTAAATCTCAGTTTAATTGGGGTTTACTATATAGATTTTTCAATATCGTTTTGACTCCATTTGTTTATGTTTCATTTCAATAATCTTATGATTTCTTTGTAAGACAAATTTGAAGCTCTATAACCCTAGTGGTTCTATTTATCTTTCTGTTATACAAATCTGTAAATAAATAAAGAAGACGTCCAGCGTACTCCAGACTTAAGTGTATCAACACGACTATGTTAATCTCGACTAGTTGGCATTGCTCAAATGATATTTTGCTTTCATTGTGTTTTTTTCTTCACCAAGTTTGAGCTAACTTTCTTCCATGTGATTTTAGGATTACCTCATTTCCTTTTAATATCTTCAATCATTATTTGGTAATGCTGACAGATCAGTGCACTAAAATATATACCTAGACTCTTGTATCAATCTTTTCTTTCAAGTGTCCTATATTAATCCTAAGACTTACTTTTTCATGTATTGCACCATTCTCTTGGATCACTAGGCTAGATCTCTGAATTGTCTGCGTTTAGACATCACACCTGTTTATGTAAAAATTAACTAGAATTTGCTTGTATGTTTCACTTGTCATCTTTAGTTTCCTTATTTTCGAGATAATATTACACTTAGAATGTTGCAAATGCTTCACTTGTCTATCATCACTCCTACCGATGAATTTAAGTAGTTTTTCCTTGAACTTTAAGGTATATGGTAAGTCCAAGTCAAAGGAAACTGAAAAATGTAACATAATTTGGTCTATTCCTTGCAATGCAACTTTTAGGTACTCGCTGTTTCTTAAACTTTTCACAATCCACTAACTTAATCTGATTGTTGTGTGAGTTTATTATATTTAAGAAGATATCCTAATGAACTGAAGCACATTGGAATGTTTACTTTTCTGCTCTTTGGCTCACAACTATCATAATGTCGACTTGGTCAAAGAATACACTGGGCAGAAGATTATAATATCTTCTATAACTCTATTTGGTGGTGGAATCTACTGTTGCTTCAATTCAACAGTTTCAGCTTAGAGTATTCATTAGTAATTAGACTGTTTTATTTGGTACCTTTTAAAAAAACATAACTTGCTTCAGATTAGGTAAGGTAGTATTTGACCTCTACATATTAAATGTGAATTTAATACCGAAGTTAGCCATTTTGACTAAAGCATCTCCCTGATTTATTTATTTTAATCTCCTTGGATGCTAAATCAAATTTACCCAATAAACTGGTATCTGCTGCAATTTCGTAACTTGACTTTCCTGAGATATTCGCTGTTTCAAATATATATATATATATATAAATATACACACACACATACACGCACATAGAGAGAGAAAAGTCCCATGGTAACTAAGACTACTAGGTGGGAGAGAAGTTCCAACTATCCCTAACTGATGCTGGTTACCACCTAACCAGCGTCAGTTAGGAAAAATTTGGAAATTCTCTCCCACGTCACACTAGATTATGATTATGGGCTAAAATTCAACAGCTTATGTCACCAGCCCAGAATGGAAGATTTTTCGCTACTAGTGTTATTATATTATTATTTCTGGTTTTTGAACTTGCACTACTCTTTTTCTTGTTCATTGTCTGAGCAAGCTTATGTGTGTCTTGACTATTCCACGGGGTACCTGCTACCTCCCACCAACATAGGTTCCGGGTTGGCTTAGGCAGATGGGAATCTGGGACTTAAACATTATACCTCATTTTCTCATCCCACTTCATTGACCACTAGGCCATACCCTTGAGTGCCATTTTGGTGCAATGTTAATGCTTACATTCTTTTTGTTTCTTAATTTGAGATTTCATTGATTACATTTTATCATTAATGTGGCTATATTCTACAGACACAAGTTTACTAGTTTTATGTTCTGTGTTCCTTTTGGTTGCTTCCTTTAACTATTTGCAACCATCTAATTGTGGTTTGTTCTGTGTGGACCCATTCATAGGAATAAGTGTTTTCAGTAACTAGATTCATGAGTTGTATTTTTAGAAAACTTTGATGTGAAAACTTATTTTTCTTCTTCCTTGGCTAGAATTAACCTGCTTGCTGACTGTACTTGGCTATTGTGCTATGTTGAACTTTAGCGATTTGCATATGGAAAAGATAAAAGAACATTCCTTCAGTTCCATCTTGCTATATTGAATGACATGATAGTGTAAATTATGTACTCTTTCAGAACATCTGTTGTTAACTTGTTATTCTTGATAATATTGGTAGATAGGTCCATCACTTCTGTCTTTCACTTTTACCATCAACATGAGATGATCTTCTATAATTCGTTTGCTCCAGTCGAAAATTTCTCCTTGTTTTCATTGACAAAATACAACTTTCTCGTTGGAGCTGATTGGACTTGATAACAACACAGTTCTCTTTTTTGACTTTGATGTGCCTATTCTTGTGTTATTTATTTATTTTCTCTGACGAAGCTTATGAAATTTCTTGTTGCTCTATATAAGAGTTGAAGAAAGTTCTCAGTATTTATATATGTATGAAATAAAGAGTTGAAAGTTCTCTTGGCCTCTTATAGGGCAGTTTACATGAAATGTGCAGTAACTTCCTATTATAAGTACACAGTGATAAAATAGTAGCTTTTCTTTTTTGATGAAGAAAATAGTAGCTTTTCTTTCTGCAACTTAATTGGTCAAGTTGGTTGGCATGAAACACGATGGCCTAACAGTATTGTGCCCAAAGGTTGGCAGTTGATGGATAGTAAGATGCTCCATTTTTCCTTTCTATAGGCCAATAACTTTGGCTTGAAAAACAACATTCTTTATGGCTGGATCTCTCTCTTTAGCCTCTAACATGCGCTGATTGTTGCTGCTATTTTGTATTGTCCTTTGTTAAAAGTTATAGACAAAGATAACTTTCTTAATTCCACCTAGTTTGCTCTCCTAGATTCTTGTTATGTTGTGATTGTTCCTTTTAGATGTGTCCTAATGTCATTGATGCGTGTTTGATCCCATTTTAAACTATTTCAGGGAATACGTGAATTAAGTCTAAGGCAAATGAAGAGGGAGCAAACAACTGCGACAGGGAGAAAGTTATGACTTGGAGAATATCAAGAATCCCCATTTGTGTGATCACCGCTTTTCACATACATGAATGATGATTATGCCATCTGCTGTCTGGTTATTGCGAAAGGCAGCATTTGTGAAAAGATTACACTGTCAGTTCATTGCATTTTTCGCTGTTAGGGAAAAACTAGTATTTATTTAGGATTTCATACTTGTAAATTTTTTCTCCTCTGATTTTTGTCTTTCCACAATGAAATCACATGTTGGTGAAAACTCAAAAAATATCATGATTGGATTAATTCATGCAAAAAACAATCTGGATTTGTTGCTAGTAGTTTTGCGCTGAAATACACTTTCGATAGACATGTTTTGCGCTTGTGTTTAATTTACTGATGATACTAGTATCATATGTACATAATACATTGTCTTATAGAGGATAGCTTTGTGCTTTTTGTTATACCGTTTTAAGAGAGAATTTGAGTATTCAGAAAGTAAAATCATCATAGTTCCAAACTTAACTTGCGAGTCGAATTGTGATTCGATTCTACGTAGTAAACCGTTGATGTCCTTGGTAAGTTCTTAAATACACTTCATGAAGCAGCAAACTGCAGGTCCGTTCTTGATTTTTTGATTACATGTTTTAGAAGAAAAAAAATAATAGGAAAGTGATTGATTGTTATGAAATACTAAGCGAAGAAAGAATTGTATTCCAATGTGTAAGAACAGCACAAAGCCACAAATGTTTTGTTGAATAGTAACTGTGATCTTCAGAAGCTTAAAATATGTATATAGACGGTGAGTTCAAATGTATGTGCTCTTAAAATACGTACATACATCTTAACTGTTTTTTGTATATTTATACATAGCCCGAGTGGAAAATGAGGGTTCAATTCAACTCACAGAGCTCGTCCTAGGTCCTAACTGGTATGAGATACTTCTTCCATTTTTTAATTTTCCGAAGACAAGAAAGTTAAGGTTACTATATGTAGAGGCAAAGAGTTGTTATCAGATAGAAACTTGACAAATTTCTCTAATCTATACTGTTCAAATTAATACAGTAGTTTTTTTAAAGACTTTCTTGAGGGAGGAGAAAAAGCTTTCTGTTTGTGTATATACTGCAAAATTGTGTTGAATATGCTTCAAGTATATAATTTCCATCATCTATTCTAGACTCGAGCACGTTCTTTATCAAAATCTGAAGGAGGCATGAAGAAATCAGTTGTCAATCTTCCAACATTAAAATCTACCTCTTCAATTTTCCATCTTTCTTCCAGCTGCCTCTTGTGGTTTGCAGAGTGCTCACCATATCTGAAAACTGTAACAAAAGTCTTGCCACTATGCGCAACATTAACTCCTTCAACATGCTTATAGTCCTCCATAACAGATTCTGTGCTAGTCTCCCAGAAGACGCCCTCATCGTCCCTGCTGGTCTTAACTGTTAGCAACCTGGAATCCTCAAACTTGATCATTAGACCTGATCTTTGGCTGAAGTATCCCCAAATGGTGTGATGAAGTATTTCATAATTTGGACCGCTTTGTGCCTCCAATGCTGATTGATTTGTGTCTAGTTTGAGAATGAAACAGTCCTCTTCGTTTATTATCTTCTCTCCTATGCAGACTGCATTCGCAAACAAGTTTGCTATAGACCGAGGATCTAGTCCCTACAACAATGTTGATACTAACATTAATGTGTGAGTAATTTCACGTATGGTCAAGTTAGACACCTATTTTTCTGTCACATTAAAATAACTGAGCTATTGGGACGTGATCAGAAAACTCAAATGACTGGAAGGCCAAATTTCTGTCCGCGAATAGTTCAATTACTTTAATGTGACAAAATAGTTTCACGAATCAACTATTATAACATATGTGTGAGAGTTTAAGTTTGTTTTACCTGCAGGAAGCGGCGGAGAGGTCTAGGAGGACCCTTGGAGATAGGCCTAATTTGATTAGAAGATTGTCTCCATGAGATTTTGCCATTACTACCAGAAATGACTTTACATCCAGAGATAAGCAATTCTAAGCACCAAAGGTCAGGATTCTTTTGCCAAAGCACAAAGCCTCCATTTTCGTCACTTTTTCTCACCTTCACACTTTGATCACCTTGATGGAAATCAGATCCAGTAATTTTAACATGCCCAATTACACACATACTATTCACTGCATTTAACGCCGGTTGTCCCCCTGTTGCTGCTATGTATTGTTGCAATATGTATTTCGCTGTAGACGCTTCCTGCACATCAATTTCAAATAATTAGTCGAGGTGTCTACAAGTTGATCAGGAAATATAAATGCCAAAACTTACAATGGAAGAATGTTTGACAGGGCGATTAACGGATTGGCCCAATTGGATTTGAAAAGGGATAAGAGGAGATCCCACCATATAAAGTAGAAAACTAAGTTCATTATAACGAGCAGCAACAATAGGTGATGACCATTTATCAGATGTTTGAGCTTTCATCCATGTTGCCATATTTTGCCATCTAAGAGCTGCATTACTCCCCATACTTTTGAACATTTCATCTGGAATTGGCACCTCCAGCACTGTCTCCAACCCATCTTCTTTATCAACATTTGGACAAAGTATCCTCATGTAAGAATTATTATTTAACTCAAGACTAATTTACCTTATGCCAAATTTAAAATTACAACTTAATTTTATTTAGCGTGTGCGCGATTTAATGAAAGAGAGAGTAAATTTCGAATACCAAATGCATAAAGAAAGAGAAAAACAAAAGGCTGAGAGATAATTAAGGATTGTTATGAAAAAACAGCATTCTATTCTCTGTTTTTGTTTGCCTAAAACAAAGTAGTATTTGAGGTGGGCAAGTTTTTGCGGAGAGATTTAAAAAAAATTAAACTATATATTTCTAAATTAAGGATTTAAGGTTCCCCATTCTTTTAGCAATCGTGCGGGCACCATTTTATCTAATTTTATTTTGCATACTAGGTGGATTCAGAATTTTAAAATTAAGTACAATAAAAAATTTAAACTTAGTACCTATATATAATTCTCTTCTTCATAAATAGGAGTGCAAACAAAAAAATATATTTACCTTTGCTATTAGTAACGGGACGAACATAAGAATATTCAAACAAGATTTTTACGTTTGCTATTAGTAGCGAGACAAAACAAAAGCACGTTTCATATTTTCCATCTTCCTTCGAATTAATCCAATTAAATTTGTCAGTAAATTTTATTTTGGTAGTTATAAACTATGATTTGTTCCAATTGAGCACCAAACACATGATAACATACAACGGGTAACAACCGATACTAGTACTAACCAAGAACACATTCTTTTGGAGAGATGAGTGTCTCTGTGTAAGTATATCCATCCCATCTCATGGTATCTTCATCACTACTTAGAGGCACTATAGAGATTGCTTCTTCTGTCTGATTCTTTGAATTTTCTAAGCACATCTCTTCTATCTGAATTCAGCAACACTCGCCCATCTGCAAATATATATTTTGGAGTGATTGGTAACACTTGAAAACGTTTCCTGCTATCTTTCATTGTGAATAATTTAGTCCAAGATTCTTCGATACCATACTCTTTCATTACCCACAAATCAAAAACAATAGTATCCTCCTTGACACAAACAAAATTTACACTAAGCATTCCATCTAACACTGTTAGGCCTTGCTCGATCGTGTCACACAACAAGGGCATCTCCTTCGACAATGGTAATTCTCCAAACGCCTCATTTGAAATGATTAAATGAAACAGAGAAAACCTATATCCTTCGGAATCAGCAAGCCAATGAAATGTTCTTCGTACTGACGTCAAATAGTCCATATTATCGCATTGGAAGGTACAGTAACCTTCATAAATTTTTCTACACGAACCAGTTTTTAGTGAGAGAGCTTCAGTGGGTGCCTCTAAATCATCTTCAGAAATCTTAACGATCCAAAATTGTAATCACTAATGCAAATAACGTGATTTTTTTTTTTACCTTGATCTTACAGCTTCAGGAATCTTAACGACTATTTTTTTTTTTTAAAAAAAAAAAAAAGTAATCTAAAACCCTATTGTATGGTAATATCAAAGAAAGGCATTTGTGTAACAATAGGTATATATATGAAACACTTTTATAACAAATAGTATATCAACTTTAAATTGCAAAGTCAAGATATATCACCCTTTTCCCTATTATAATATTTCCTTCGCAATCATATTTAAAAGAAGAGATAAATATGTTAAAACACTACTGTATGGTAATATCTCTTTTTAATTTTTAGAACTATATTACAATATTAAAATTTGTCAGAACGATTAATTAAAGAATTCATTAAACTAGTAGGAATTGAATTAAACTCAAGTTTTGAGTTGTATAATTAAAAGGGGAACTTCAAACAATGAGCATGCTTGGATTGACTTATATTAGATGTTTTTAAGTAAAACAATTTTTTAATATTTGGATAAAATAAAAAAGTATTTATAAGCACTTATTTTTAAGTTAAAATAACAAAAATAAAGTCTAAAGTCATACGTTAGAACTTTTGACTAACAAAAAATCAATCCAACCCAAAGTTCCAAACATGACTAATTGTCAAAAAGCAAGTTAACCTATTTGGATTGATTTATTTTAAGGGTTTTAAAATCAAAATAGTTTTTAAACGTGTTTAAATAAATTTTTAAAGTGTTTATAAGCCCTTGATTTTAAGCTAACATGATAAAAATAAAACAAAAGGTAAAAAGCCAAAAATCCATCCAAACAGAGATAATTTGTAGATTGAGAATAAAAATAAACGTAATAGAATTTCATTGTATAAACCTAGCTAAACTAAGAAACACCCAATTTCGACAACTCTAAGTTAGTAATCAAATTATAATAACAAACTTAAGAATAGTCCAAATTTTCAAACTCAGTGTGAAATACCTAAAATTAATTACCATATTTTTCAGTTGAGGCATCGGATATCATAGACAAAAAATTTCGTCAGAAAAGAACCTAATATTTGGGTGACAAAATTTGGGTAGATCCAAATAACATGTTTTAAATTAAAATTGTTAAACAGTATAATACAAAGAATACAAGGCAAGAACAAACTTGATTACGGACAACGGGTTTTTACTTGTTATTTTTTGACAAATCAAGGAAGGACACTTTTTTTTCTTACTGTATCCTCAATTTATTAACATTGAGTTAATGTCATGACCTAGTAAATAAATATGTTTGGGCCCATATCAATTAATAAGAGTAAAATAGTAAACTTTCTATAATAATCACCGTTTTCTTAATGAGTACGTAAAATCAAAATTTGTCAAGTAAAAAAAAAAAGGAGGGAGCAATATGAGCTAAGCTTAAATTATGTTGGAAAATTAATTGGTCTCAAAATAACTAATTTGAGAAAAAGTTATTATTAAAAACTTTGTTGTATGGCTTGAGAGTCCGAATGCTAATCATTTTTTCATAAATTTGATAAATTACTAAAACATAAATATTTACATTTTACAAAATTCCATGTGGGTTTGATTTTTGGGTAAAATGACTATTGCATGAACAGGGAAGTAGCTTTACCGATTGTAAACTTGATTGAGTGGGTCATTAAAATGGTTTTAATAGATAAGTATATTTTTATTTATTTAAAATTTGATTTGAAATAAAAAGTTTATATAAGCAAATTTTAATTTAAAAAATAATGAAATAGATGTTCGGGTTTTGCCCTGATTTTCTTACCATAATTTAAGATTTATTTTTCCTTAAAGAAAAGACAAAACATAACCATAAATGTTTTTACTTTTCCTGAAAGGAAAATATAATATTCTTTCATAGTTGGTTTATTCTCTCCTTTTAGGACTCCTTTTCTAGTAAGAAAAGGTTTTAGGACTCTGTAAATATAGGTTTGTTTCTTCTAACACAATAACAATAAAATCCACAATGTAGTAGTTTAAGAGTCTTGTTTATGGGAGATTTTCTCCTAAACATATTTATGTTTTTTCAATATTAGTTTTATAATATGTAGGTCGCTTGACCAAACTATAATAATATTATATCTTTAGTATGTTTTTATTTGTCATCTGATTTGTCAACCATATGATTTGCAAATTATAAGTTTCCGCATGACGCCCTAATCATCCTTCATAACCCAACAATAGATTGAGTGGTTTTGTACGTAAAATTTCCATAGTTAAGTGAATTTTGAGTTAAAATTCAAAGTTGAGTGACTTTGTGAAAGAAAAAAAACCCATATTTTAATAATTTTTGTGTTAGAAATCAAAGTTAAATGAATTTATGAGAGAAAAATCCATAATTGAGTGACTTTAGAAATAAAAATCAAAATTGAATGAGTGACATGGAATATTATCTCAATTTGCACCGTATCAAGAACAAGTATTAAAGACTATTCGGAAAAAAAATGAATTATTATGTGTGAGATTAGAAATTGAAAACACTTAAAACAATTGAATGTAAAGTAAAGTAGGTTTAAAATGGTAAAATATCTCTTGATTTTCTAAATTGGACAAGTACAATATAACCTCATTAAATTAATATAGGTGAGACCGTGAAATATTATTATTTCATAGAGTAATTATTTAATCGATAAATTCATATTTATTGATTTAAAAAGTTTTTTGAGATTCAATCTTGTGATGTTGCAATAATAAGAGCTTTCAAGATGTATTATCACACCATATTTTATCATATGATATTTTAGAAGGCTACGAAGTGGGACAAACGGATCCAAAAAATATTAATGTTTTGGATGCTATCAATTTTACAATCTAGACTTGGACAACAAATGTTCAGAGCAAAAAACAATAGCAAATTGTTTTCAACACTGCAAAATTTGTTGGGGGAATGAAATCTTAAAGAATTTGAATGAACCCACTTGAAACGTCATTCATGAACTTGAGGTCATGATTAATTATCTCAGTTATCGCAATAAAATGGACGTCAAGAACTTGTTGGATTACCCGGATGAAAGTGAAACATGTTCAGAGGTCTAGAATTTAAAAGAAATTGAAGACATCATTGGAAAAAAAACAATGTTGATGATGAAGTTGAAGATGATACAATACATTTGGAACAAGTGACGCATAAGGAAACACTTATCGCATCTAGAACTCTTCACAATTTTATGGTGCAATAAAAAAGACAACACAATAACATTTGGATATAATAACAAAAATTAGAGATGAACTTCAACTAGAATTAAATTTTAACAAAAAACAAAATACTATAGAATCATATTTCACAAAATTGTCTTAGATGTATTTGTACAAATTTATAATATTAATGGGACCATATATTTATATAGTGGTCTCCTGAAAATATATTATCTTATCATCTTAATGAAATGTCTGATTTTTTCCATTGGCCCAAATCGAGACCGGAAGAAAATATTATCTTAGAGAGATTATTAATTTACCAAGTATTAATTTAATAAGGTTTTACTGTAAAAGTGGACGTTTATTTTTAATATGGCGGATAAGTGAAATGGACAAGGAGAGTAACAAATTAGAACGCACAACTAATTTATCTTGTAAAGTAGAACACAAAGGTCTAAACTATATAAGAACGTTTCAAGTTTACTCTAATCCTATGCATTTTGGAAAGGCACTTTAAGAAATGATATTTTATAAGCACTTACCTATTAAATAGAAGAATGA